GCTGAACCTTCAGTGTAGAGATGTTCATAATCTAAAATTCTTTGCTTGTTTCCTGTCTTGGTGCTGTTTTGTTCAGTCTTTTTTTTTCATATTGTTTGTCTGAAAAATATATAGCTTTTGAATCTTATCTGTGTTTTTCTCTCAGGTATCCTAAACTTGCTTTATGTTTTAAAATTAAGAACTGATAGTCTTGTGATAATTTATATGTATTCACAACTAGAGGGACTAATGTTGGTTTTCCGCTTAAGGCAATCTGATAAACATTTTAAATTGATCCTCTTTGCTTTGAAATACTGCTGTGGAGATGGGCTAATGGAAATGTGCAACTTGCTTCTCCCCCCTTTCTCCTGTTAATGGCACCAGTCTCTCGTCACATCTCCAGTGTGAAAGAAATAGTCACTAGCAGCAGACATCACAGCTGCTTCTTGCTGGCCTCGTGTGGCATGCCCATCACTAGGTTGTTCTTGAGGAAGCAATTAGACTTCACACCATGTTCACCTAATGAGATTTCTAGGCCAGGCCAAGGCTGCTGCCACCCAACGGGGGTGGGGTGTGGGGGGAGGCATTGTGGATTAAAAGAGAGACTGGTGCCATCTACTGTTTAAATCCAATCCAAACCCTGACTTGCTTATTCACACTAATTCTTCCTATTCTCTCAAACTAGGACAGTTTCCTATATAGTTAAAAAAAAAAAAAAGTGCTAGCACAGGTGGTTCTCCTGGTCTGCTTGTGGGAGCTGCTTATTTCCTGCTTGATTTTCCTCAGTAAACTACAGTTCGTAGGCACAATGTTCTCCCTTTCCCCAAAAACTAGTGCAAATGGTGGGATTGCACTCTTTAGATGAAAGCAAGATTAAAGACTCCTTTATATAGGTGTGGACATTGTCCTAGCTATTTTGTGGAGGTAATTTTTCAGTAACTTGAATGAATCCAGATAAGCTTGTACTGCATGCCATGTGATCAGATCTAAATATGATGATGGCTGTGTGCGTCATCATGAAATATACAGTCTGCTGATGCGGCATACGTACTTCTCCTGCTTTATGCGGAATAACCAGCTACTCAGCAGAATAATACGTCCCAAGACCACATTAACCTTGCAAAGAAATGTTCAGGAGATGCCTGCTTGAGCCACAGGAGTAAAGCAAATTGGATTAAGGAAAGCAAATGCACATAGATGCTGTACTGAAGTGGGAGGAGAAAGGTGTTTTATTAAGCTACAGCCAAGCCTGATCAGTTGAGAGTTAGACAATGTGTGGACTTTTTGTGCTGAAATCAGTGATGATCAGTTGTTGCTGGATTAGGGAATTAAAAATGCCTCTTGGGGAATTTGAAAAGCAGTTTGCATTTCTTTCTTCACTGTCCAAAGAACTGAGAGGCGGTAGAATTGGGCCCTTCTGTGGAATCCCCTCTTTGTTATTTTCTTGCCATTGGATGTAAGTGTGTGTTCTAAGCCATTTGCTGAGGTTTGTTGAAATATGCCTTATTTGGGCTCTTGTCAATGATGAAAATATGCATTATATACTTGATATTATTAGACTTTATTTTGTAGTAAGTAAATCGCCTTGAGCTCTGTGTTGGGTTGATAAGACATCTTGTAAAGATTATAAATAAGCATTCTGATGGAGGTTTCATTTGTGATGGAGGTTTCATTTGTTCCCTGCCTAGGTTTCTCCAGGGGGTCCCCCCCCCCTTTTAACCACTAGTTGAATTTTTCCTTTTTGCAGGAGCATGACATTGAGACAGCTTTTGGAGTTGTTCATGTCACTCTCCGTGGGACACCAAAAGGGAACAGGCCCATCATCCTCACATACCATGATATCGGACTCAACCGTAAGTCCTCTTTTCTAAGTAATCACCTCCGTGCACTTTTTGGTTTTGTCTAGTATATGTGTTTCACCAGCTCAGTTACATTCTTACTGTTGATTTCAAGGGCAAAATAGAGCTATGGCTTCTACTTCTGAACCATTTGATAACTTGCTGTGGCACAAAGTATGAATGTGATCAGTCAGCTGTGAGAAGCAGATAGTAGAATGAAGAGGTGCGTTAATACTTGAGTAATTTGGGGGTTTTCTCTTTCAGATAAATCCTGCTTCAATGCTTTCTTCAACTTTGAAGACATGCAGGAGATCACACATCACTTTGCTGTGTGTCATGTTGATGCACCTGGACAGCAGGAAGGGGCTCCCCCTTTCCCTTCCGGGTAAGTGTGGCAATATCCTCCCGATCCTGAAGGTCAAAGGCCATTGCATTCCAATGGGCATGGCGTTTAGTGTAGTTGTGCTGGCACTTGTCTTATAACAATATTTTGGCATGGACTCTGCTTAGTTAGCCTCTTGCTTTTCCTTTGCCATACAGAACTCTCTAGCCTTTTGAGATACTGCCTGTCAAAAGCACTTGAAATGCTAAGGCCATTAGAGAGGGCCTGACTTCCCAGAAGTGCCTGTGCATTTCTGCAGTGCCAAATGAGCCCTGGAATGACCTGAGAGACATGAGTTGCAAATGGACCTATTGGTTCATGATATGAATCTGCCATGATCCCCTTTGGTCCCTTACCTGTGTGCATTTGTTAGTATAAGTTTTCACTACCATTTTTCCAAGCTCCAGGTTCTGTTTTTGTGAAATAGCTGTGTGAAATGGCCTTGGAGTAAAATCTTCACTTTGGATTTTACTGTTATGTTGGCAATAGGATAGATAGGAACTCTCAATACGGGGCAAGTGATGCTCTGTATTCTTGATGCTTGGGGGGCAACAGTGGGAGGGCTCCTAGTGTCCTGGCCCCACTGCTGGACCTCCTGATGGCACCTGGTATTTTTGGCCACTGTGTGACAGAGTGCTGGACTGGATGGGCCATTGGCCTGATCCAACATTGGCTTCTCTTATATTCTTATGATTGCTGACCTATGGTCTCTAACTAGCATCTTCTTACACCTCAGATTCCAGTATCCCACAACTGATGAACTAGCTGAAATGCTCCCTGCTGTTCTTACACACTTGAGGCAAGTATGCACATAGTGACCCAGATTTATCACAGTAATCACTGCGAGTGGCCAAATACCCTTTCCCTTATGATTCTCTAGAAGAGGAGACAGATATGCTTATATTGCAAGAGGCAAAAAGTTCACCAGATATTTTTTATTCATATTCCACACGCAGAATTAGTCTTTCCTGCTGCTACTAGTAGAATATATAGTGGTACACTTGGTGTGCTGGAAGGGGGCTATAAAACAGTTGATATAGAGGATGGTGCCGGTATTGAGAGGGTTCTCCTTTTGAACTCTTTTCAGTCTCAGAAGCATAATTGGTATTGGAGTTGGAGCTGGTGCTTACATTCTCAGCCGGTTTGCAGTAAGTGTTGTTTGTCTTTGAATATTTCTCTGAAAAATCTGAGTTAGTCTCAGCTCTGTTCTTGGGGCTACCTATTTGTAAAAGTGAGTGCAGTAATAAGAAATACTGGCAAGAAAAAATGCCTTGAATTATGCACCCCAACCCCTTTGGAGGAAGAAATTTCACCCTTAACCGCTGGTCAAAATTTAGGCAGTTAATACAAAATGAATGCTACTCCCAGTCCTTTTCTGGAAAGAGCTCTGTCATTATTGTTCAGTGCCAGTTAAAGCGGATGGCCTTTCCATATTTTCTCTTCCCTAAGCTAAATGAAGGAGTACATCAGAATCAGCCCAAATGTTGTGACTCATGTGTGTGATCATTTTAACAAATGGTATAATCTAGGTTAATCATTCATACCCACTCACAACATTTAAAGCACAAATATTTGGAGATATCAAAGACAGATACTTCCTTTCCCCTTCCACTCTCTTTTTTTTTAGTTGAATCACCCTGACTTAGTGGAAGGCCTCGTGCTTATTAATATTGACCCATGTGCAAAAGGATGGATGGACTGGGCAGCATCCAAGGTACGACTTCTGTGACGTTTCCAATACGTGGGTGATAATACTAACCTACCTTTCGAGGATCATGAAAATAGCATGTGAAACAGTGCTAGAAGATTGCTTTGACTTTCCGTTCTTTGCATTTTGTTTCATGATACCTGAAGTAAGAGGTATAGCAGAACGCAATGTGCTCGTAAATTCTGCCTGCATTTTGGTTACTAATCACTAGGATGAAAAATCCCCAGCTATAAAACTAAAATTTAGCCAAGCAATATATAAGATTGCAAGTGAAAGTACTGTATATAATTTTTATATATAGCTTCTAAAATGGCAGCATATGTGGATACCAGAGAGAGGTAGAAAGCCCAGTAGAAGAGACAACATTGGGTGACAAGACTGAAATTAGACCGCTGATCATTCTGAGCCTTCTCAGAAGTGCTACCTGTTCCACACGCAGGGCCGGAGAGACAGGCACAGATCAGGAGTCTCAGTGTGTGGATGAGACGATGGTGTAGGGTTTGCAGTAAGTGTTCAAGTTTGTTAGGCACTGGGATGCTTTTTGGAACAAGAGGGAGCTGTACAAAAGAGATGGTCTCCACTTGTCCCGAGAAGGAACCAGGCTGCTGGCGCTTAAAATCAAAAAGATGGCAGAGCAGTTTTTAAACTGAATATTGTGGGAGCACCGACAGGAGATGAAAAGTCTCTGGTTTGGGATAGCTCATCTCAAAGACATGAAAGGTACTTTTCTATAAGGAAATGGATTAGAATTGTTCACTGAAACTGTGGCTAATGATACAAACTGCCTGGCAAGGTCTCGAGGCAGCAAGAGGAAGGTTGTGGGCTTAACATGTATGGGAAATTATAGGTGTTTATATACAAATGCTAGAAGTGTCTGAGGTAAAATCAGGGAGTTGGAATGCTTGGTGTTGGGGGAGAAAATAGACATTGTGGGTATTTCAGAAAGTTGGTGGGATGAGGAAAATCAGTGGGATATGGTGATTCCTGGTTATAAATTATATTGGAAGGACGGGGGGGAAGGGTTGGAGGTGGGGTGACTCTGTATGTCAGAGAGGGTATACAGTCCAGTAAGACTGAGAGGGTAAGAGAATTGGATTCACTTCTGGAAATGCTAAGGGTTGAAATAGTGGGCCCAGAAGGAAGCTTAACACTGGGAGTTTGTTATCGCCCACCAGATCAAAACATAGAGGAGGATTATAAAATGATGAATGAATTAAAGATAGCCGCTAGATGAAAAAACTGTGTCATAGGTGATTTTAACTACCAACACATTGATTGGGTCAATATGTGTAAACCCAAGGGGGTCGCCATAAGCTGGATGCAGCTTGATGGCACCTTTTCACGTGTAATTCTATACGTCATATATTTTTGTACAGAAATCATGGGGTTATATCCTGACGCATGAAGGGACCTGGCTCCTATGCCATCTGATGTCAGTTTCCTGCTGCTACCAAGCCTGCCAGTGGCTCGCTGCCTTGGCAGCCCCTGCCCCGACCCAGAGGAAACAACCTTCACCCGGGCCTGCTTCAAAAGCCACTCGTGCCAGCTCCCAATCGCTCAAGAGATCCCTTCCTTCCAAGAGTTTGATCACTGATTCTGACAAGCCAGTTTCCCAGACAACCAAAATGGCGGCCGAACTCTTGGGAGAAAAAGTTCTACTGCAAGAGTTCGGGGAGGCTTGCCAAGGCATGCTATTTCTGCAGAGATATGGCAAAGAGGTAAGAGGAGAATCTCCCACCAGCCCCTACGGGGTGACAGAGGCAAGACGGCAGCCGCTGCCACTAATGGCCTCAGGCAGCAAAGCCTCTTGGAAGCTCCACTGCTCTCTAGCGTATCTGGGACAGGCAAGCTCGAATCCTCACCCTGCCATGGAAGCTCACTTGGGCCAGTCACATATTCTCACAGCCCAACCCTCCTCACAGGGTTGTCGTGAGGATCGAACAGAGGAGAAGAGACCACCATCTGTGACTTGGGGTGCCCACTGGGGAGAAAGTTGAGTATAAATGAAGAACATAAAATCAATATCGGGGGGGGGATACTTTTTGAATTTTTCATGTGTGTGTGCGCACGCGCACATGCGCACCTGGAAGTCACAGCAACCTCTGGTGTCTGACCTCTACTGGGAGCCTGGAGGGTATTCAGAGAGAGGGGTACTTCAAAGAGGTCTCCCATCCAAGTACTTGCCAGAGTCGACCCTGCTTAGGACCCTGGCGAGATCGGGCTTGCCTGGGCTATCTAGGTCACGATATAAAATCAATATCTTGAGTTCATCTTCCACCTTGAAGGTGGAACTGGTTATTAAGTCCCCAGTTTGCCACCGTTGGCTTGCTTGGTTGACCTCGAGCCATTCTCACTGTCAACCTGACCTACCGCGCAGGACTGTTGTGAGGATAAAATGGAGGGGGGGAAACGGGTCCTGAAAGAAGGAGGGGATAAGAATGCAACAAAGAAACAAGCAAACAGTGTGGGAAGCTCATCCTCAAGGGTGAAAGTAACTAGAATTTCTTACTGATACTGTCTCTCGGGGAGAGGCTCGAAGCAGAAGGCTGGCGGTACCATTTTGCCTGCTGTCTCACTAGTACTCTGTACTGGACTATACCAGCATGCTGCTCATCGGCAACACACAGGCTTAAGATCCACACAACACCAGAGAAGGCGGAAGAACTGTCCACAGACTAACACTTTGTTGTTGTTCAGTTGCTCAGTCGAGTCCGACTCTTTGCGACCCCATGGACCACATCACGCCAGGCCCTCCTGTCTAAATACACGTTGATGGGGTCTGAACTGGCAGAGACTGACCAAGAGAGAGATCTTAGAGTCGTAGTAGATAACTCACTGAAAATATTGAGACACTGTGCAACAGCAATAAAAAAGGCCAATGCTATGCTCGGGATTATTAGGAAGGGAATTGAAAACAGATCAGCTAGTATCATAATACCCCTGTATAAATTAATGGTGCGACTTCATTTGGAATACTGTGTACAGTTCTGGTCACCACACCTCATGAAGGATATTTTAGCATTGGAAAAAGTGCAGAAAAGGGCAACTAGAATGATAAAAGGGTTGGAGCACTTTCCCTATGAAGAAAGATTAAAGTGCTTGGGACTCTTTAGCTTGGAGAAACGATGGCTGAGGGGTGACATAATAGTGGTTTATAAGATTATGGATGGGATAGAGCAGGTCGAGAAAGAAATACTTTTCTCCCTTTCTCTCAATACAAGAACTCATGGGCACTCAATGAAATTGCTGAGCAGTCAAGTTAGAATGGATAAGAGGAAGTACTTCTTCACCCAAAGAGTGATTAACACATGGCATTCACTGCCACAGGAGGTGGTGGCAGCTACAAGCATGGATGGCTTCAAGAAGGAATTAGATAAACATATGGAGCAGGGATCCATCAGTGGTTATTAGCCAGAAGGTATAGATAGGAACTTTCAGTCTGGGGCAAGTGATGCTCTATATTCTTGGTGCTTGTGGGGGGGGGGCAACAGTGGGAGGGCTTCTAGTGTCCTGGCCCCACTGGTGGACCTCCTGATGGCACCTGGTATTGTTGGCCACTGTGTGACAGTGTGTTGGACTGGATGGGCCATTGGCCTGATCCAGCATTGGCTTCTCTTATGTTCTTATTATACATATCAATGGTAGTGGAATAGAATTTAGATGGGAACTGATGTCTTGTGCTTGAATAAAATATGGTGGAAAAGATAGAGGGCAGGGCTCTTGTTTGCCAGACTTTTCCCATTTTATTAGTTTGTGCATGAGATTTATTTATTTATTTACAACATTTCTATCCCTCCTATCTGCCCAAACAGGGCCGTCAAGGCTCCCCTGTAGAGGTCCGCCAAATGGCAGTATTACATTTGAAATATGTGTGTGTGTAATCTTTTTTAAAAAACAATTGTTGCGTGTGTGTGTGTCCGTACCTGGAAGTCATGGCGACCTCTGGTGACTCCTACTGGGGCACGGAGGACATTCAGAGAGGTGGCTTGATAGCCTGCCCCCGGCTTCCTGGCCCTGGTATCCTCTGGAGGTCACCCATCTAAATACTTGCCAGAGTCGGCCCTGCTCAGCTTCCGAGACTGGGCTTGCCTGGGCTGTCCAGCTCAGGACTATATGTATAATCTTTTTACAGAAAGGTGCTCACTTAATTTATAAATGTAAGATGGTGATTTTACATCCTACAGGTTTTTCTCTTACATATTTTTGACAGAAACACTCCCATCTTGAAGTATTGCTTTGGTTACCTTCTAGTATTTTAGGCTGTGACTACAAATGTACTTTTTAAGAACTCTTTGTCTATGTATTCCAGAATGCAGACCTGCTAAGTTTGTATTCCCTACTGGCCTCAAAAAAATGACATTGTATAATTTGACCTGCCTTGTGTTTAGTCATACGGCTGAACTGGTGTGATACAGCAGTTAGGGTGCAAAATCCCAGGCTGGGAAGACCCTGTTCCCCAGTTGACCATGAAGATCACTGGGTGACTTTGGACCAGTCATTCTTTGTCTAACCACCCTCATAAGTTGGTTGTGCAAATAAAATGGAGATGAGGATAATGTTGTGTGCTCTCCTGAGTTCCTTGGACGAAGGGCAAGATATAAAAATGTAGTAGTAGGATGAAGTTGTTAAATCTACAATGATTGTATGGGTGAAAGATATAGGACATACTGTAGAAATAGACAAGTGGTCCAAAATATGGAAATCAAGCAAATACTTAAGAGCCATATCATATAAAGAAAATATCCTTAAAGTATTTCACAAAATGTTATGCAAATACTTCAAACAAGTGTTGGAAATGCAAAGTTAATGTAGGGTCGTTTTATCATATGTGGTGGCGATGTCAAAAAATTCAAAGGTTTTGGGAAAAAATACAGAAAATAATTTGGGAAATCATGAATGTATATCTCTTATTGAACCCAGAGACATACTTGTTAAATTTGATACTGGAAAATCTTAGTTATGGTGATGCCTATTTAGTAGTGCTTATACTAACATCAAGCAGAATACTTTTGGCTAAACATTGGAAATCCGAAATAACTCCTACTAGGGAAGAAATAAGTCTAAAATTGTTAAACCTAGTAGAAATGGACAAATTGAGCTTCTTAATTCAGGGAAAAGGAGACGATTGTTTTTTGAAAAGATGGTCGAGACTATATAAGTGGATAGACCATACTGTTAAAATTCAGACTCAAATGTAAATAATCATGTACAGAGAGTGTCTGTGTAAATAAACAGGGGGGGGGAGTAGTAGTAGTAATACAATTCCACCACTTTTTTAATAATGGGGGTTTTGTTTCTAGTTTTCTGGGTGGACAACTAACATTGTGGACATTGTCCTGAGTCACCTTTTTGGTCAGGTAAGTCAACTCCAAATTTTATATTAATTGGGTTTTTTAGAATTAGTGTCTTTCAAACGTTCTTGATCCTTGTAGGTGCTGACAAGAACAGCATTACAATCTCAGTTTGGGGCTTTGGGGTAGCTTTTCCATTTAGGGTAATAAGTGCATGCTTAATGTGTGAGGGTCAGGGGTCGTTTCATAGAAAAAGAGCTAGGGGAACTCATTAGCATAACTCATTAGCATGTCATAAGGCCACACACACACCCCGCCACCAACGGTCCCGGCCGTCGCCGGCCTTGCAGCTCCACTGCCGAGCCCCACAAGGGGCCTGGCGGTGGACATGCAAGGTCGGCGGGAGTGCAAGGAAGCCCTGCGAAGGCCCTCCCTGGCCCCAGGCAGGCAGGGGTGGGGAGAGGCAGGGAGGAAGCAACTTACCCTCCCTCTTCTCCTGCCTCCTCCTGGCTGAATGAGGGCCGGAAGCGGGGCGGCCGGAAGCAGGGGGCGGGGCTTTGTCATGTGCCCCGCCCCCGTACCTCACCTGGGGGAACTGCGATCCCCTGCGATCCCCCCTGAAATGACCTCTGGTGAGGGTAAGTGGAAAGGCAAAGTGGGAGTTGTCTTCTGTTTTGCTGATGCATTATGAAACTTTCTCTGCAGCAGGAAATTGCTTGCATATGTTGACTCCCTCTTGAATGTTGTTGTCTACAGGATGTACATTGCTTTTCTTGCTCTGTGTATTAATATGGTGTCCTAACACACTTAAAGAGCACTTCACAAAGAAACATTTTAACATGGCAACTGATCAGAATGTTTGTCATTCTTCTCCAGGAAGAACTGCAAGCTAATCTGGACCTCATCCAGACCTACAGACTTCATATAGCACAGGACATTAACCAGGAAAATCTTCAACTCTTCCTCTCCTCCTACAATAGGTACAGGACTTCTTTTAGTTAGCATGGGAACCAGTTTTCTTTCTTCTCCCCTTTTTAAAAAATTAATGTTTTTGTAGTACTTCGGAAGAGATGTGGGAAGAGTCCAGTATGTTGTTGGTCATCTGATACAAAATGGAGATTGCATTGTACTTTGGAGAAAACAGTCCCCTGTAAGATGCTTCGGGGAATGGTCTTGTCAAATCCTCATTAAGCTCGTCCATGTTTGCTATATGGTCCTGTTATATTCGTGTAGATGTTTCAGGCCATTTATCTTTCATTTGTTGCTTCAGTCTTCTGCTTTACGAAGGAGGCTATGAAACTGCAGCTTAAACATGGACAACACACACACTTCATTCCATGAACCCACTTTCGGTTCTGTGGCCAATAAAATGGAATATGCAACTGACCGCCCCTCCCCCCACACATTACCTTAAGTTAGCTGCCACTCCTTTACTGTGATGCTAGTCCCCTTGATGTCATTTTCTAGTCTCAGATCTGCTGGACTGCTTGTTTGTCTTAGTTGTGACCTTGTCAATGTTAATCCAAGTTTAATAATTGTGTAGTTTTGCCTGTCATACAGAAATGTCTCCATGAGTCTTTAGGACCCCCAGCCTGCTTCTTTGGTGTTTGACAGGAGCTCTGCTTTGTTTTCTAGCCGTAGAGATCTGGACATTGAGAGACCAGTCTTGGGTGTGAATGAAAATACAACAAAAACGCTCAAGTAAGTTGCTGTTTATAACCTTTTTTTTTAACAACAGACTTCTCCCTCTACACTCTGCCATGACAGCTTTGCTCATGTCAGCAGGGGCTTCTGCAGGTGCCAACCTGCAAATGGGCAAAATCAACAACTGCCCATATCTGCGCCTTCTCCACTGTGCCCCCCCCCCTTATGGAACGGCCTCTGCCTGAGGAGGTCAGGAAGGCTCCCGCTCACCTGGCTTTCTGCAAACTATGCAAGACTGAATTATTCAGGAGGGTTTTTCAATGCAGGCAATAGATTTGCACTGTACTAAAGGGATTACAAAATTACTTGGATAAATTATTAGGGACTGTTGTCTACACTCCTTTGTATAGCTTGCGTAAACTGCGATCCTACTATGGAATTTTGCATTATTTAATGCTTTCATTCAAACCTATTTTTAGACTTTTGGCTGGTTCCACAACCCTTAACCATATTGCATTGCTCATTGATTGTACGGACTTTGTGTGATCTGCCTTGAGTCCAAGTGAAAACAGCAGACTATACATAACAGAAATATAAAACAAACTAAAAGATACTTTGAGACCTTGCTTGAAACTATGTGAAGTTCCATTTTAAGTTAATCGTCTGCTATTACTTCTGGCTGGCTGGCTGCCACTGTGCTCTTGTGTGCGCTCATTCCCCCCCCTTCCCTTGTGAGAGGTCAAAAGGCTCTTGACATCTTCCAGTATACCATGATTAGACCAACAAGACAAGTCCACCCAGCCCATTGAAAAACATGAAAGGCAAGATAAAGCTCAGGCTTTGAACAATGGAGCAATAGAATTTCTAATGCCTAATTTAACGGGAGTCATCAGGTGAGTGAGAGGATGTTTCCTCACTCACTGGAGGGTGATCCGGCACCGTTAGGGTGTACATGCAGTGGAAAGTGCCGTTAAGTTGAAGCTGACTTATGGTGATCCTGTAGGGTTTTCAAGCCAAGAGATGTTCAGAGGTGCTTTGCCATTGCCAGTCTCTACATAGCAACCCTGGGCTTCCTTGGTGGTCTCCCATCCAAGTGTAAACCTAGGCTGACCCTACTCAGCTTCTACGATCTCATGGGATTGGGCTAGCCTGGGCCATCCAGGTCTGGGCCAGGTTGTACGTACCTGAAAAAGAGGTGGTGGTGGGGGGGTTCCTCCTGCATAGAAACCAGGCTTGCTACACAGGAATTTCTCCCACACAATGGATTAGAGCTGAGCAGGGTACATAACATAACCAAAAGAAGATTGCAGGGTGTGTATATGTGTATATGTGCAAAGTTCAGTTGTATGCTATGGCTTTCATCCAGGTGTCCTGCCTTATTAGTGGTTGGGGATAACTCGCCGGCGGTTGAAGCTGTGGTAAGTGTGCTCTAGTCATTTTACCTTGTATGCAACTCTTCATTCATCTTGTTCATCTGTTTTAGTGTCTTGGTCGAACTCTTCAGATTCACCTGGCCAATTGAATTATATTTAGTAACAGAGAAAGGTGCTTCTATTAATGAGTATCCATGTGAGGTTGAGATTTTGTTCACAAGTCCAGACAAATGAAGATGGATTCAGGGAGAGACTCCATGCTGAGTGCATATTTGGGCAGGTCTAAATACATGCATTTGGTCAATTGGGTTGGGTGGCTTGGTGATGGTAATGAGATATGTGGACCTTTCTGATGTTAGGAAGGCAATGTATTGTTGAATGGTTTCTCCTTTCCCCCTCCCCCATTCTCGGTCTATCTTTGGCTTCCCTTAAAAAATATAAAAAGACAAAAATTGCATTGGCATCTTTTATTAAAGCCAATTCACATGGTTACATTCTTGCCATTTAGCTCTTACATTGCCTACTGGCTAGTATCAAATTAATGACTCTATCCCATCTTGGTTTCTTTGAACATATAATAACTAATGGAATCTTGAATTCCCACCTTCAGTGACAACTCTGCATGTTCAGTATGTGTTTAATGTCAGCTGTCCCTGCTGTGCATTTCTTAGAAGCTTTTCTTCCGTGCTCATTTATCAAAGTTATAACTTGCCATTACTTCCAGGAGCTCAGAGCAGCATACGCAGCATTATATCCTATTGTAATGCACACAGCAGCTCTGTGGAATAGATTAAGGGAGAATGACTTGCACAATGAACCAAGCAGACATTTCTGTCCACATCTCCCCAGGCCGAATGCAGCACTGTCCACAGTACAGCACTGATCTGATGTCATAAACTGATAGCAAGCATTTTTCTGGGTCTGTGCTTGTGGACCCCTCCCCTAAATGACAGTATTTGTGTGTTTCTTTACTTCTGGGAATCTGGTAGTTAATCACATCGGTAGTTGCACTGGTACCTGAAGAAGGAACTCATGGTCCTGTCTTTGGAGCTTTGTCCCTTATTAGGGAAGCGACAGTTACCTTTGCATTTTATTTACCAAGCCCTTCCCTGCTAGATGGAGTTCTTTATTCCAGTGTATTGCTGCTGTGCTGCACTATTCTTACTTCCAGTCCCCCTTCGTCCTGGATCCTTGGCACAATAAGGGGGGAAATGAAATGTCTCTCTGTATTTTGCAGGTTGAGTGCAATTCACGGCTGGATCCAGCAAACACAACATTTTTGAAGGTAACAGACAATTGTGGGCAACTGTGTGGCTTCCACAGACATCTCTAGGAATATATTCCTATTTACCAAACTCCAGTACAAGAGAAGGGAATTAGGAGATCGATTTAAGATACCTACTCTTATGATGGTAATTTTAAACCAAAAGGCAACAGAGATACATTGTCATCAAGATGTTTCAAAAATGCATTTCTCCAACCTCCGAATATCTCATCCAGAAATGAGAATTAGCCAGCCACAGTAGATCTTATTTGGCTTAGACTTCTTTAGCAATTGATAACAACTCAGTTGGCTCTCAATCTTCTGCTGCAGCAGCATCATTTTCTCTGGAAAAGTTTAGTTATGCATGCTAAGAAACTGAGAGCTCATGATCCTGCATAAAACTGCCGATTGCAGGGGTCTACCCATTTTATCCATGGGTTGTGATCAATTTAGTCTTCATTTGTGGTTTAGACATCGTTTTTAAGCCAGCTGTCATTTTGACTGGTTCTAACTCGTTTCTTTCAGATGGCAGACTGTGGAGGGTTGCCTCAGGTTGTTCAGGTGAGACCTTGGTGATGTCTGGGTTTAGTACACTTGAGAGTACAAACCTAGTTTTACTTAAATTTAAGTCTTGCTTGTTGTATTTTCCAGCCCGGGAAATTGACTGAAGCCTTCAAGTACTTTGTGCAAGGAATGGGCTACAGTAAGTGCTGACAATACTGTACTATTTTTAAAAATGTTAAGCTGAGGTTAACTGCTATGCAGCTCTCACTGAGCTCTTGATGATGGGATTTTTTCAGCCAGGCATCTTGTTGGCCAGTATGGTTCATACATCCTACTGAACTGGAAGAGGCCTTGTCTAAACTGTATTGCAGATGGGTAGGCATTGTTTGCCCTAGTGGTGTTCTACTCGGCAGCCAGAAAAATTGCTAAGACTCAAGCTATGGCTGAAATGCGTAGGTCATGCCAAGCGCTTATCTAGACTGTGTCTCAGTTTAGAATTTCTTATTCCAGGCACCACCATTTTGGGTTATAAATGTACTGACCTGACCAACCAACAGGAGGTTGGTAAGGAACTAACATTCCTGCCTTCCTGATAGACCTGACTTACTGCTCTGTTCTGAAAACTCAACTGTAATGCTATAATCCTTTGCTCCCGATAACAGCTCCTATATGCACTGGCTTCTAAATGTTTGTACCTATTGGGGGAGGACCACTTGCGTCCCCCTTATACATGGCTTCTGACATGAAAATTAATTTTGGGGTCAGGAAGAGAACCACATGTTGTCAAGGACTGAAGAGAATTTTTCACGTGCCGTTGGCAGCACTAGCAGATGATTCCCCCAAAGGGCTGTGGTCTATTAAACCAGAAACCAAAGGGCTGAAAATCCATGCTTGGTGCTCAAGCGGCTCTCCTAGCCCTGGGCAAGTCGAGACTCACTAACCGCTTTCCATTCCTTCTCTTACCTTTTGCTTCCAGTCCCTTACGTGCAGCTCAGCCACCTCAGCACTGAGTCAGGTACCTACAGCTTTGTACCACCACCACCCCCCCCCCCGCTGCATTACTCTGGCTGCTCACGGCATGGCCTAGCAACTTTCTGTTTGCTGCATTTGTATTTGGTTGGCTTTTGCATGGTTTGCAGCTCACGGATGATTCAGGAGTAATGCTTATGATTTTTGGTGTTCTTTAATGGTAGTGTGAGGAATCCCTGGTGGACTGAGCAAGTTAACAGCACGTTTGCTACGAACTGTAGGCAGTAGTTCACCTTCAACCTTCAACATCCTCCATGTGAGCCTATACAGACACTTCATGGTCACATTTGAGAGTGGAATGACATGTTATGGAGAGCCATGGGGTTCACGACCTGTGTTTTCCTTTTAAGGCAAATCGGGCTGGGGGAATGCTGGCAGATAATAGGGTTTAAGCACCCCTCTCCCCCACCTGCTGATTCTCCCTTACAAATGCCACCACATTGGCATTAGCTTGGCAAACACAGGTTAAGGGTACCTGTGTTTGCTGGAGTAGCACACTCTGGGTGCAGTTCTTCTTCCCACGATTAGGAATACTGTATTTGTTTCTCAGTACTGCAAAAAGGGCATCTGTGGTAGTTTGCCGGCTGCTTTAATTTGTGGTCATTGTTGCCTCTCTCCTTACAGTGCCGTCTGCTAGTATGACCAGGCTGATTCGTTCCCGGACCCACTCTTCTTCGAGCGTAGGCTCTGGTGAGAGCGCCCAGACAAGATCTCAGACCAACAAACCAGGAGAGGTGACAACTAGAATGCCTGAAGCAGCTGACATTCGTGACTCTCCTCAGACTATGGAAGTATCCTGCTAAGCAAGCACTCCTCTTGTGTATGCAGACAAGCCCCTTTCCTTTATTCTGAACCTACCCAGAATCAGTGTTCACCCAGAAAAGTGGCATTAACAGTTTTTTCCTAACTTGTGCCTGCCCATCCTAGCTGTCATCTTCTCACCTGTCTGTTGGACATTGCTTTGGGTTCTTTTAAAAACAAAACAAAACTGGCTATGGGAACATTAACTGCTAACATTCCATTGGTGCTAGAGGAGAGAATCGCTGTATATACTGACGCCATCCTTTTCCCTTGGTTTTTGTGCTGTTAAACCAGATGAAAGTGTTGGGCCCATTTTAATTTAAGTAACCATTTCTGTGGCTTGTGTAGTTAAAATTGCTTTCTAGTTGTGCTTCTGCCTGAAGGGTGTTAGGGCTCTTGGCTGCAGTCTTCACAATGGCTTTGAGGTAGGGATAAAGGGAGAAGTCAATGTTTTTGTTGTTTTAATTTCAGGGATGGGATTTCGATCCTATACTGTTAAACTCAGAATGCACCCTAACATATTGCATCATTAACAGGCTTACAGGAAAGTTTAGGTCTTAGAACTGAATGGAAGAAACCAAAAGGTTTTCTGTCTGCAAGTGATCACCCACCAAGGCCTGTGGGGCCATGGTGTTTTTTTAAAAGGGCAAGGCTTCTGATGAGCCTAATTCTCACTAACTGTTGCATTATTCAATACAGTATAAGGGTTTATACACTACAGTAGCCTGTAGGGATGAGGTTTTTTAATTAGGATGGCTTTTACAACTCCAAAGGGAATTAGTGCTTTCTGTACTAGGATAAGCTTAAGACCAAGTTTGAAGCAGTAATCTTCTGTTGTGACAACTATATCATATTACATAAATTGCTGTAATTACATACAGGTGTTAGACAATCAGTCTAAAACTAAAGCTGAAGATACAGAAATATTTATTCCATTCGTGCAAAGAGAATGTTTGGGACGCCCTAGACAGCTTATGCCACAGTAAATCTGTTGCACTTTAGGGCACAACAATGCTCCTGATGTCCACATAGATTGAATAACATATATTCCATTATCAGCACAGATACATCTGATGAAATTACATAATATAAATTCTGTTCCTGAAACACAGATGGAGACATCCAGTCTAGATCCAAATAGACATACCACATCCAGTCTAACTGCTGAAACTATTCCCCCCCCTCCCCCCAATTTTGGATAGATCAGGAATCGGAAAATAGTTGTAACTAGCTTGGTGCACAAATAATGTTACATTTACCATGTTTATTCTGTGAAGATTTCTGTAGTTTGGGGGGGGGGCGTGTTTCCCCATTTTACTGATAATTTTCCATCCTAAAAGATTAGGAACTTGTTTTAGCAATCCGTCGTGGTTCTCTAGAAGGATAATGATGATCTCAAGTGTTCAAGTACCAGTCTAGCTGAGACATCTTGTTCGTATTCACAGGAAAAAAATTAACCAGTTTTTGACCTGGTCAGTTCTGATTTAAAGATACATCTTACATGTAGCTTTGAATAATCTTTGGCCATTTTTGTAGCCTCTCCTTGAGCAGATGTATTGCTACAAAGGCTTTTTAAAAATTGGGTCTGTAACTTCTTGTTCTTGCATTGTAAAGTCTTCAGCTTATATAAAGAATGGCAAAGGGAATGCATTGATGTACTGTATGCTGTAATATCCTACTCTGTTTGAAGCCTATTTTTATATTTTCATAGGCTGATACAAAACTTGATTGTCTGACAAAAATGGTGTTCCTTGCAGGACTGTTTGCCTTTGGGATTTAGGCAATTTCCAAACAAATTTGGAATTCAAAATAAGTGGCTTTTTTGTTGTTCTGGCTGGACTGCAGAAGACAAGAGGAGTGTGATGTAGCAGGGGACAAGAGAGAACTGCTGATGGAATGGGGACATGCAGCTGATATTCTTGAAGTCATGGCAGAATGTCTACTTTTCCCTATTGCACCCTACTGGCCCATGCTCCGCGGAAGAGATTATATTTGGCTCTGTTTCAGGCAAGAGGTAGGACTGGGACATTCTGCCTCAGAGTGAATTTGTATCATTTAAATAAAGCTATAATCAAATCTCATTGGAACTGTATTTTTTCCCCTCCTCTTAGTAGAGTATTCAAAAACACACATGGCGCTTAAGAGTGCATAATTTCCAGAATACAGTACCCCTTTTAAAACTAGGGACAGGCCCTTTCTTCCAACTGAGGGGGACTCACACAGCTTCTTAAGATTTTTGAACTGTAAACGTTCCCCTCAGTTACAAGATATTCTTAGGGCAGCTTTGGATTTGCTGCCATGTGGTAATTTTTGTAGTGAGCAAGAAGAACACAGAGATCAATACGTCAGGAGTTGTGCAAAAATAACAAAGATTTACTTCTGTACAGGTTGTTTTTAAAGAACAGTTCAGCAGCACAGGTGTCCAGACAGTAAGCTAGTTAATTGCTTCAGGTTGTACTTTTAGTTTCCTTTACTTTTCAGAGTTACAAACAGGATTTCACTGCCTAGCCATCAGATTGGATTCCCCCCCCCACACACACGATTCCACCCACACCAGCCTGCAATTTCCCAAGAGTCAGACAAAATAGTACCAGGTCTGCTCATCACCAGAGATAGTCCTCACAACTGGCTATTCTGTCCTCTCCCAGAGGTAGAGCTAAACTACTCTGCCACAACACCAGGCAGAGCTATCCTTCAAACTGACTCCGCTCAGACTAGGACAGCAGAAATCTGAAACAAGGCATAAGTATTAAACATAACATGTTAAACAATAACATTAAAGTAAGAGCAAGATAAAAGCATACAGTAACAGATTAATATATACTGTCAAAATGTCTTCCTAACGTAGTCTTGTTCTTTTATAAAAATGCACTCCTTATCAGTTCTGTTTTACGTAGCTTGTGGAAAGCCAAAAGCATGGGGAGGCCCTGTTCAGGTGACTAAAGTGTCGTGGTGGGGCATAGGAGGGGAGCGGTCCTGCAGATTTGAGGGTCTGAGATCCTGGAGGGCTTTGTATATGACACCCAGTACCTTGAGTTGAACCTGGAAACCACAGCCAACGGAATGGACTGCAGAATGGGTATAATGTCTACACACTGCCTGGTCCCTGATAATAACCAACAGGCAACATTCTGCGCTCACTGGAGCTTCCAAGCTGATTTTGAGAAAAGACTTTTAATATAGAGTGCATTACTGTGGTCTAGTCTTGATGTTTCCATTGTGTGGATCCAGATGGCCAGATCAGCTGAATCAAAGTAGGGGGCCATCTTCCAGGCTAAACAAAGTTGCCTTTTTTGTAGCTGTATTAATTGCTTATCCAGTAGTAATGCTTGGTGTAATATAACCTCTGGGCTCTTGACCAAGTCAGCAAAGACCCTATCAAAGTGGAAAGCAAGTTTGTCCTTCAGAACCTCGCTTCCCAACAACTACCTCCATTTCGGTTTCCGTTTGTTCACTCAGCCATGTAACAGTAGTCAGATAGTGGCCCAAGACCCCTACTGCATCCCCAGGAGATTTGGATAGACAGAGCTGGGTGTTACCAGTGTGTTGATGGGCATCGAATTCCAAAATCACAAATGATTTGTCCTAAAGGAATTAATTAGAGCTTTAATCGCATGGAGGATAGGACTGCACATGTGGAACCCCTCAGGACAAATCCCACACTGATAACTGGTCTCCAGCTGCAACCCTTTGTATCCAGTCTGCATGCAAGCAATGATTTAAACCAGTTCAAAGCACATCTCGATACCTACTGCTACAGCCAAATGTTTCTACACAATAGCATGGTCTACTGTATCAAAGGGAGCAGATGAATCCAGTAGGAGCAACAAAGAAGAATGGTGGCCTCTAGTCTACATTCAGAGGAATTAAAGCCACCAGTGCCGCCTGTCCTATAGTTTAACCTAAAGCCAGATTGAAAAGGGTCCAAATCACGTAACCTATTAAAAAGACAAGGCAAAGATGGAGAGTGTAGGAAGCATTCCATTCGTTCTGTTCCGCATGAAGTAAATAGGCTGGCAAAGCACAGTGTTTAGAGCAGGGATGTTGAACTCATTTGTTACAAAGGCTGGATCTGACATAAATGGGACTTTGTGGGGCCAGGCCATGCGTGTCATAAAACGTAATGCCAGGTAGCAGACAGATAAACTTTATAAAAGAGACAAAAACAAAGATATTGTTTTTTTTACTTAAAATACAAATATGCTTAAAACTCTTGTGATATTTTGTTTATTTAACATTCTTTGATAACTGACACCTCCCAAGCCTCCCCACCCCAAGATGCCTGCCTAAAATGGAAAGGTGGGGGAACAGTGGGGTTTGGCAATGCAGATTTTAAAATAAAACATCAAGAAAAAAAGCTCAAGGATCACAGCAGAAACTAAAAATATAAAATGCTCTGACATTGGCTGGGCATTGCAAGTTCCCCCCCCCCCCCCCGGTCTACTCAGAGTTGCAATGGCTCTCCAGTGCAATGTCCCCCTTTGGCTGTGGGTTCCCAGGTTACTCACTCAGACACCCATTCTCAGGTCCATTCAGCAGAGACAAGCTGTCTCAAAACGTCAACCCTGTATTTGCAAGGAGACAACTCCAGCACGCAACAGCTTCAACTATACAAACACTGGAAAGTGAAACTTCTTCAGCTCCAGTCCATTGAAATCCATTGAATGGATTTCCCATTAAGGTCTCTGGGCCCAGGTAGACAACTCTCAGCCACCAAAGTGAAATGACAGTCCTTGGAAGTAGCAGAAGCGCTCTGGGATTGGAATGAGGGCCCCCAGGGTGGAATTCCATTCCCAGAATGCTGCTGCTACTCCCAGGGGCTGTCATTCCACTCTGCGCCCTGTCATTCCAGTCCCAGAACACTGTTTCTGTTGCTGGAAACAACCCCAGAGTAGTCTATCTGGATGCAGAGACCTTAATGGAAAAATCCATTCCAGATTTTCTTTGTAATTTTGCAAACCCAGAAGAGCTTCCTGCCAAAGCAGGCAAAGACAAGACAACAAGAGCTGGGAACTTCGGCAGCCTCAAGCTTCAAAGGGTGAGGACAGGAGGGGAGGAAGAAAAGAGCCCCGGGCCTGATTAAAGCCATGGGCAGGCCACTTCCGACACACGGGCCTTAAGTTCGACACCCCTAGTTTAGAGAGTTGGACTAGCCCCTAAGGCAACTGGGGCTAAATCTGCACTCTGCCATGGAAGGTTTCCTGGTGATCCTGGGCCCATCACAATCTCTCAGCCAAACTGACCTCACAAGGTGGTCGTGAGCATAAAGTGGGGGAGGGGAGAATGATGTGCTAAGTTGCTTTGGGCCCCACTTAGGGAAAAAAGCAGGATATAAATTTTATAAATAGGCAAATTAAAAGGGAGGGGAAATTAAGAGTTTTATACCTGCATATTTGACAGGCCAATAGGAGTGAAACTGAGTTCAGTAGGCTTGAGGCAGTCTCCCACCTCCTTGCTCTCCCACTTGTCATTGTGTTGTTATAGTAGGCAGAGTGAGGGGGTGGAGTTAAGTCTCCTTCTCAGACCTACACAAGCTATGAGCTCATGAAGATGCAGAAAATAAGACAGTGGGGGGGGGGAGCGGGGGGCAACAAGAGAAGACAATTGGTATGGGAAATACTAGAGCTGTAAAACTGTCTTTGCCTGGTATTACAATCCCTTAGTATAGCAGGAAGTTTGCTATATATGCCCAGTTGGATAGGAGGTGGAGGAGGCAACTCTTGTGTGAGGGCCCGAGGTGAACAGTTTCGTATGAGGAAAGGCCGGAGAATCTGTGACCTTCCAGTATAAAAAAAAAAGTTGGCTAAAGGGGGGACACGATTGAAGTTTGTAAAATTATGCATAGGATGGAGAACGTAGATAGAGGCCCCCCCCCCCATTCTAGAACTCAGGGACACTGAATGAAGCTGTTGGGAAATTGATTCAGGGTAGCCAAAAGGATATAGTTCTTTACTCAATAAGTAATAAAATGTGCAATTCACTACCAGTGGAAGGTAGAAAGGCCACAAACATAAATGGCTGTAAAAGATTATATAGATTCATGGAGGAGAGGTCCATGGTCGGACCACCTGGTCCTGAAGGCCCGTCTGAGCATTCCACCCCAACCCTGTGTAGGCGGCGAGCGGATTTTTGCTCGCCCGCGGAGTCTTATGGACCCGGAGCGGTTCCAGAGGGCTCTGCGGGATCCGAGGCCCCCTGGCAGTTCGTTGGAGGAGCTAGTGGAGGACTGGCATGTCCGGCTCTCCACGGCCATCGACGTGATCGCTCCCAGGCATCCTCTCTGCACTCGTGTTAGGCGCGCCCCCTGGTATACCCAGGGGCTGCGGTTGCTGAAGCGAGAACTGAGACGACTAGAGAGACGGTGGCGGCGTGTTCGCGACGAGGCAACAAGAAGATCTTATAGGACGTTTATGAGATCCTATGAGATGGCAGTTAAGGCTGCTAAGAAGGATTTCTATGCGGCTGAGATTGCGTCCGCGAGCTCGCGCCCGGCCCAATTATTTAGAGTAATTCGGAATATGACAACCTTGCCTCAGGGCAAACAAAATATTAGGGAATTGGACATCGGCTGTGAGGCTTTTGCGAGCTTTTTCGCGGATAAAGTCTTGGAGCTTCGCCGCGACCTGCCCGCCACACTTGAGACAGTGAGCGAACTTGAGGCCCCTTGCGCGTCCTCGGTAGCGGGTTTAGAGTGTTTTAATCAGCTCAGTCTGGACGAAGTGGACAGATTACTCGTCTCTGTGCGCCCAACGACTTGCGACCTTGATCCGTGCCCCTCGTGGCTTGTTAAAGCGGGTCTCGAGGGGTTGCGAGGCGCATTGCGGGATATTATCAACACGTCCCTCTCGGAGGGACGGTTCCCGAATGCGCTCAAGGACGCGATGGTCCGCCCCCTCTTTAAAAAACCATCTCTGGACCCGGCCGAATTGGCGAACTATCGGCCGGTGTCCAATTTGCCCTATTTGGGCAAACTTATAGAGAGGGCGGTGGCGTCACAGTTACAGGGCTTTCTGGAGGATGC